AGCAGGATTAGAACTATACCTCCAAGAAATTGAATTTTAGCCTAATTTCATTAGAGATCTTTCTCCTTATCTTAATTTGCTAATTTGGAAGCTATTTCAGTCTGTTTACTGGTCTTCGTTGGCTGTCTTGAGTGTATATTAACAAACTACTTGTCCTTGTAGTGACAGGACAAGGATCATAATATGCTGAAGTTAATCCTCTTTCAAGTATGTGCACTAGGTAATATTTGGGGTATTCATATCAGCTGACAAGTTGATGGAGCTTGATTTCTTTGGTTTAATTTTAATAAGAAAAAAATCCATGCTAATAGAATATCGAATGAAACAAATTTGTAGATTAAGTTCTTTGCAGAAGAGGTAGAATTGGTAGGAACCCACACAATGAATAATGCTCTTAAGCAACTGGAAGTCACTGCTGCTTTGACTTTGGCCATTTTTTTTTTAAACAAGGCTCTGGCTAATAAAGGCCACAGACACTATCACTTGCTCTAGGGTATCTTGTATTTACAAATCCAGTCAGGAAATCCTGTCCCTGATATTAGCAGTCTAAACTGAATAGTGAAAAAGATTCAGGAGCCACTTCATACAAATAGATATTTAAGAGAAGAAGAAATGCAGAAGCAAGGGAAGGTTTGTCCCCTCAGTCCACTTTTGAAGTTGGCATTTCTCCATGCTGACCATTTTAAGACACTTTGATTAGGATATTACAGAGCTACCTGGTGATAAATTGGAGAAATGGACATAAGAGGTTATGGGGGAATGAGGTCCATTTTGCTGCATGTGGGTGAATCAAACAACTTCTTGGGGAACAGATTTTCTAGCTGTTTCATAATTTAAATGAAATCTCCATAAACCGAAGGGAAAAGAGATGTACAATTTGCTTTTTAGATTTGAAAAAAATGAACCAATTCAAAATGGACTGATCACTTCCTGGATCTTGATAGCTCAGGAAAAATATCAGTTGAAAATGCCTACCCCTGATTTAGACAATGTTTTTTGGCCAGAGTGCCGAATAAACCACAGTGTCTACCTTGGAAGGTTCTGGAGTGCCGAGCAGCTGTTTGCAGCCTCCCAGCTGCAGCCACCCCACAGACCCCGGTCTGCTTGCAGCAGGGCTTGCAGCCTTCCAGCCGCCTGCTGGGAGCAGTCTGGGCTCCATGGCTGGCAGCAGCTGCTTAGAGCCTGAGCTGGCAGTGGTGTGCTGAGCAAAATGGCTTTGCATGTCGTGCTCGACACCCGTGCCAGGGGTTGCTGAACCCTAGTCTAAATTGTACAGTGATTATTGCCAAATAAAAATCCAGGTAACAGAGTTGGGGGAAAATGGTATTACCAAATTTAGGTTATTATGCTAGACAGAGGATAACTCAACTGGTCAAGAATTAGGGTCTTGATTGCTCTATGAAGTAATGCACATTTGCAGAGGGCATAGGTAATAGTAAGAACATGTTCCTTTTCTCTCCTCATTCACCAGTGCTTAAACTTTAGTATAAGTTTAGATCCTGAAAATAATTGTAGTACCGTAACAGTGAACTCTTCCTGGCAGGTAACAAAATATTGTTTGCAGACAAGCTATGGTACTAATCCAGAATAGGAATAATCTCTAGGCCTGGGTTTGGGGCTAGAACAGGGGTGTGCAAAACGTGGCCTGCCAACTGATTGCATCTGGCCCACAGCACTCTGCATGGGGCCAAGCCCTGCCCACTTTTGCCTGGGGCAGCCAGCGCTGTGCACCTGCCCGCACCTGCCCTGTGCCTGCTGACAGCATGGCCCTGGCCAGCATGCACAGCTTCCTGGTAGGGCTGCCGCTGCTGCAGCCACCCAGGTATTGCTTTGCTCCCTGTCTCCAGCAGCTCTTCCTCCTCCTGCCCCTGCTGTGCTGCTATGGGAAGCAGGTCGCACAGGGAAACAGTGGGGGCTGGGGGGACATGTGCCAGGCACCACATGCCCAACCACGCAGGGGGAGGCTGCAGCCAGCTAGGCCCTGCCCCATTGTGTGGGGCTCCAGCTCCTGGTTGCCTTCCACCCACTTGCCTGCCTAGCATGATAAGCAGTAACCTGTGGGCACGTGGTGCCTGGCATGCATCCCCAGTGGCTCCTGCTGCTTCCGCATGCTACCTGCTGCCTGGAGCAGCACAGTAAGGGCAGGAGGAGGAGTTGCTGCTGGAAGTCGGGCCAGGGGGGTGGCAAGCCAAGCAGAACTTGGATGGCCACTGTGGTAGTAGTAACAGCCCTGCTGGGAAGCTGTGGGTGCTGGCTGGAGCCATGCCGTCCACAGACGTGGGGTAGGTGCAGGCTAGACCACGGCATGGGCTGCCCCAGGCAGGAACGGATGGGGTTCAGCCCCATGCAGAGCACCGCAGGGGCAGCCATGGGCCAGATGTGGGGGTGTGGATGGCAGACTGCACCTGCTCACAATGCCTGGGGGAGCTCTGCATGTGTCCCCTGCCCCATCTCCATCCCTCTCCCCACCCCTGGCCAGCTTCTGGGACCTAGTGCACAGGCAGCCTCCCCTTGCCGCACACATAAGCGCACATCCCCCACACACAATATAACAAGAGTAAAAGTTTATTTTTAGTTTTTATGCAATTGCTTCTATATGCTACTGAGAAAAAAAAATCAGGACAAAAATTTATTTTTTGAAATACAGTTAAAATGTGTTATACTAGATATTTGATTTTTAGTGTATGGTACTTTTTATCTATAACTTGTTAAAATTATATCTTCTAAAAGATTTTGTGTGTGCAGCCCTCAGTAGCTCACCAAAACTTGTTCAGTGACCCCCCAGTCATAGGTGACACGTATGAAATAATTACCCACTCCCAGGCTAGAAAGTGGTCAGAAATAGGTGCAAGAAACAGTATGGCTGAACTGGAATTTTAAGAGAGCATGCAACCTAACAAATTTGATTTTTAAACACCTAAGGATGTCAGAATTCAACAGATTCATAAAGCTTAAGCCAAGTGTAATATTTATTCTTTACAAAATAAAAGGAACCACAGTAAAGTCCAAGAAGCTCTCAAAGGTTTATATCAAAGCAGCTCTTTTCTCCTAAATGGAGTAAGGTAATCCATTATAGGGAGTTTAAAATAATTAAGAAAATTTTACTTGGGAAAACAAGTCAGTGGCTATTATTTGCATATAAAGAAATTCTTTGATTTTTTTTTTTTTGTTTTGTTTTTTTTTGTTTTTTTATAGCTCCCCTTGCATGTGCAAAACAGGAAAACCAGATATGTGGCTAACTGATGCTATTTTGTATACAGGCAGTCCTCAGACTTATGACACAATTGGTTCCTGAAAACCGAGTCTTAAGTCAAAACGTTGCAACTCAGAACCAATTTTCTTATAAGAAACAATGTTATAAATGGGGGATTGGTTCCTGAATCAAGGCCTGATACCAACTTTCACTAAAAATACCCCAGAGTTTTGTACTTGATTAATTATAGATGCGTAATATAGCTACGTTAATGTATTTATATTGTAAATAGCAATCACATTGATTTGGAAGGACTTCTTTGAGGTGACTTTGCTGGACTTTTTGAAGGGCTCTTGGCTGGAGTCTTCTCAGGAGTCTCAGCTGCAGGTTTTTCTGGAGTCTTGTCTGCTTTCTTAAAGAAAGTGTCCAAGGAAGTTTGGGCAGATGTTCTCCAGGGAGATGAGCGATGCAGCAGACTTGTTCGCTGGCGTGGCGTTGCATTGGATCAAGCATTGTAAAGTCGAAACTGATGTCATAAAGTTAAAACAGAGTGTCAGTTTATAAACGTTGTAAGTGTGAAACGTTGTAAGTCGAGGACTGCCTGTATTACAAGAGCTGAGACGCAAGCCATGTTACTATCTTTAGTGAAGGAACTCTTACAACTTTAAGCTAACCATTACTCTTCTGTAAGCCATGGATCTGTCATGCTAGTTGTTATGAGGCACTTCTTAAGAACATTTAATATATCTTGTAGTCTCACCTTGTAGCAGTTCTTTTGCAATTCATTGGTTTCTTAAGAGTGTAGCTGTTTCCTGATTCATTGGTTAGCCAAGACTATGAAAAGGAATACATGAAATGTAAGTATTACAGTTAATAAAGAATTTTTACTTGCTTTACACAACAAAAGGTAGTCAGCAGCCCAGGGGATTTTCCCTCAGCTTCTGAAACCTGAATCCTACAAGCTGCTTTGTATCAGTTGACCTGTGTACACACAGGTGCTCTGTTGACTTAATTGGAGCATATCTGCCACTAGAAAGCAATTTTCAGGGACTGACACCAAATTGCTGCTTGGAATGTTACATGACCTTGCCTAGCTATGGCAACATTTTATTTTAAATATAAGAGGTCATGTAAGTTCACCAAATAGAAATTCAGAGGACATAACCTTATCTGGGTGAATGGCACCTTGAAAGCATTTACTATAATATGCTTTTTTTCAAAACTTTTGCATTTACTTTTAGATTGGTAGCAATCGCACTTCTGTACTTGGAACAGGAAGACGCTTTTTGGTGTCTGGTAACAATAGTGGAAGTTTTCATGCCTCGTGACTATTATACCAAAACTCTGCTAGGATCCCAGGTATGTGTTATACCTTGAAAAATGGAACTAAGATAGAATTGTGCAGTAACTGTGGCTTTGAAAATAAAATGGGAGATGATTTCCTCCTGCACAAAGCGGGGATTATGGTATTTGGTTGATGGGTAACTCTTAAGTGCCTAGTATGGTAGGCCTGATGGGCCTCTATGCTGTCATAATCTGCAATAAGTGATCTGCTTTGAATCAAGTACAGAGCTCTGTAAGTCTTTAGCAGTAATAACAGCATGTCTGTGCTCTTTCTTTAGGTGGACCAGCGAGTGTTCAAGGATTTAATGAGTGAGAAACTGCCACGGTTGCATGCTCACTTTGAACAGTACAAAGTTGACTACACACTCATAACTTTTAACTGGTTTCTGGTGATATTTGTAGACAGTGTGGTTAGCGACATCCTCTTTAAAATATGGGACTCCTTCCTGTATGAGGGACCAAAGGTGAATTGCACAAGCTAAATATTTTTTTCAGTTGTCAGATCTTGTTATTGGGTACTGTGGTGTTAATATTACTCGTGGGGGTGTTACACCTTGCAAGTTTGTTAAAGAGCTGATCTGAACCCTGGATGGGCAGGGGTTAACTTATTAAAATATCCAGCAACTGCTTTCAGTCAAACTCTTTCTATTTTGCATCTAAATTTTGTCATTGAAATTTGCTACATAATTTTAATTATGAAGAAGAAAACTCAGGCATTTATTTCTCTTGTGTAAAAGCAGGAGAGGGAGAAATGAACAAATATGATGAGTGTTTTCTGCTTAGTAAAGGCCAAAAACATTTATCATAGTTTCATTATAGTTTCATAGTTGGTAGGGTCGGAAGGGACCTGAACAGATCGTCAAGTCCAACCCCTGCTGTGGCAGGAAAAAGTACTTGGGTTAAACAACCCCAGCAAGGTGTTCGTCAAACCTCCTCTTAAAGACCCCCAGGGTAGGAGCCAGCACCACTTCTCTTGGAAGTTGGTTCCAGATTCTAGCTGACCTGACAGTGAAGTAGCACCTCCTGATGTCTAGTCTGAATCTACCCTCAGCCAGTTCGTGACCGTTATTAGTAGTCACTCCTGGTAGTGCTCAGGGAAACAGGGACTCCCCCAATGTCAGCTGGTCCCCTCTGACTAGTTTGTAACAGGGCACTAGATTCCCCCCCCTCAGCCTTCTCTTGTGGAGGCTGAACAGGTTCAGGTCCCTTAGCCTCTCCTCGTAGGGCCTGCCCTGCTGCCCCCTTATCATGCGGGTGGCCCTCCTCTGAACCCTCTCCATGCTGTCCACAGCCCTCCTGAAGTGTGGCGCCCAGAACTGGACACAGTACTCCAACTGCAGCCTGACTAGTGTCGCATAGACAGGGAGGATCACCTCCTTGGACCTGCTTGAGATTTATCTGGATGCATGACAAGGTGCGGTTGCCCTTCCTGACCGCATTCCCACACTGTTGGCCCATGTTCATTTTGGCATCAATAATGACTCCAACATCCTTTTCTGCCTCTGCACTGACAAGAAGGGAGTCCCCCAGCCTGTAGGTATGCTGCGGGTTCTTCCTCCCCAGGTGCAGACCCTTGCACTTGTCAGTATCAGGGCTCATATTTTCCTTGTTGTTGTGTAGTGGCTTTTATTTTAGTGTTGGAACTCTGAAATAAAGATGGCAGGAAGCAGAGATACTAGAAAGTGCAAATCTTTGCTGCAAGTGATATTGAACTGCCTCTCTCTCTACAGCAAATATTTGTTTTTGCACAGACGTTAAAACTGCATCTATAGATACTCATCAAGATTACCTAATCAGCTTCTCCCTTGGCCTTCTCTCAAGTCAGTGTTCCTTTTACAGTTTATATCTCTTTTTAAAACAATTAGCTGAATCTCATGATGTCGCAATGCATATATGTGGAGTAGAAATGGATAAGCTTTCTGGATCCATTCCAGCATGAAGGAAGGATCTTTATGCCTTTTCTGTTTCCTGCCAAAAACTGATTTGAGCAAATATTAGCAAAAGTTGAAGAATTTACATGTCTCTTCTTTCTGCCACATCTTGCAAGAGTTCAGATAATCCATGAAGCAAGATACTACTGTGCCAGGCAATGAAAAGCAGTGTTGCAGCTGTGTGGGTCAAACAACGCACATGAATGTGAAAAAGAATGCTAATTAGTTTTATATGTGCATGTGACCGTGAATGTTGCATTCAATGTAACATTATATATATATTTTTTTACTATCAGGTAATTTTCCGTTTTGCCCTGGCACTTTTTAAGTATAAAGAGGAAGACATTTTAAAACTGCAAGATTCAATGTCGATATTCAAGTATCTTCGGTACTTCACTAGGACTATTCTTGATGCTAGGTAAGTATTTCCAAAATGTATTACAAGTCAATGCAGGTTCCAGAAACTGATATAGCAGTTAATTTTTTCTCCGTGCCTAATATGAATGGAGTTTTTAGTGGAAGATTTTGATGCTTGGTTTGTGGGGGTGGGGGGGAGGTCATCTTCTGAGGTTTACACAGAGTTGTAGAGAGGGCTTCATAAAAAGATGTTGACTACACACTGAATTATTTGGTGATTTTTAAAAAAAAATTTTAAAGTAGGATTACTTAAGCTCCTATGAACTTTTAAAATATATTGCTAGGGCATGTTTGCTGAAACAGATTAATCTAAGACTGTCGCATTCTAATTCTTTTTTCATGCTTTTAAATTTGGGTCTGGTATTCTGACATTCCCGAAAAGTTCCAGCGAGGACAAATCTCAGTGTACAAAAGCTGATTACTATGCACTGAATTCTGTTTCTTTTTTAAAGCCCACTCTGCAACTAACCTTTAAAACTTGTAGGAGAGTGCCACCTTGTGTAATTTAGTGTACAGAACTTTGGTCAGAGTACAGTGGCAGTGTGTGGCAGTTTACAAGACACTTGACTAAAAACAGACATGATTTAATTATTTTAGATTCTTTATTCCACCTTTTTATTCATAAAATTACTTTTAACCATATTTCATGATTTTATAAAATTAACAATGAAAGCACATGCAGAGTAATCACTGTTACGGGGGGGCATATATGTATTTAGTCTTGCACAAAAGAAGGCATGTCTTCCTAATCGTAGTACAAAGAACAAGAACCTTATAGGATTCCTGAACACTTTGAGCAGGCTGGAAGAATTGATATTTATTTCTTTCCACTAGAATATATTTCTGAGTTTTAAGCTATTAACTAGATGAATTTTTATTAACATGTGCCTGTGTGTGCCTTTGGAATAACAGACAGGATAACAAGTTGTGTACCTAATTGTTGTCTCAAACTGCTAAAAGTGTGCCCCAGGTGACACACAAAGCTACTGCAGAGTGTTTTTAGACAGAAACTAGGAAATATTTTTTGTGTACCCCCAAGTCGTGTAAGAATACCAGTGTAGGAAAAGCTCAGCTTTTCAATAGGCAAAATGCATGCCCTCTTAAGAGAGAACCATCTAAAATATAATATAATATAATTAATTATAATATAATGATGATTATAATTATAATAGTATATATTTATAACTGGGGCCTAATTTAAATCGCAGGCCCAGCTTGCAGCACAGCAGCTCCTTTAATCTTGGAGTCCCGTTTCTCTCCGCCACCCCCTCCCAATGCTCCCCTCCTCCCTCTGCTGTCTGGTAGGGGTGCCCCACTGCTTGCTCCTGATAGCCAGGATGCATATACCATGGTTTTAAATATGCTGTGATTTCTTTCTTTCTCTCTGTCTGTCTCTCTGTCCTGGGTGGCAGCAAGAGGCAAAAACTTCCTGGCAACAGGACTAAGCAGTGAGTGACAGGGCTGACAGCCTGTCCACCAATTAATGGCAAGGGAGGCATATGGGGGGGGGAGGGAGGGAGACTCCAAGATTCAAGGAGCCTCCACACCACAAGCTAAGGCCATGATTTAAACCAGGACCTAATTATAATATAGTATCTTTCAGTAAAGGCTGGGTTCATTCAGTGAAGAGCTGGAAAACACTACAAGAGGGGAAATGGGATGTAATAAAGATCTATCATCACAGCTGCAGATCAGCAAAATAGAAGTTAAATAACTTAGGCAAAGGAGCTGTTTCGATACCTTCTTGGTCTCTTGCAGTGTAGTTCGTTATTTATGGTCCCGGGGTCTCCCATTGCATTTTTTTTGCAACCACTGATCTAGAAAGAATATTCAGGTGTAGTAAATGATGTACTCTGGTTATCCAAAGCTTGATTACATCTCCCTGTCACTGGACTGAGGTGCTTAACACCACAGCACAGTATAGAATTTGCAGTGGGCTTTGCAGGTTGGCCAGCATTTATGGGGTCATTCTTCATCTCACCTGCTCATATTGAAACTGGCAGCTCTTTAGTACTCTGTTGCAATTTCAGCACTTCATCCAAGACCCACCAAGAATGTGGGGGCAACACCAGAGTTGCATTTCACCTTCTGTACAAAGTACTTTACTGAATGCTATTTAAAGAACATGGATGTCAATGATTG